TTTCATGATTTTGGTTGCATTATAATTTTATTTATGTTTGTATCATGATTTTTGTTTGCATTATAACTCTTATGTATTATTATATATATACTAAAGAATAAACCATGAGTGTTTGAAGTGACTTCTCCTAAAGCCTAGAACCTCATTTTTTTTTTTTCTCCTTCATTCTCTCAATATCCACTACTATATATTTTTTTTTGTCAATTTATGTTTTTTTGTTAAATGTTTGCATTCAACTCCAAACCATTCATCTCCTTCTATATTAATTCAAATGACATAACTCCAAACCCTTAATCTTTTCCCATCAATCATTTATTTATATACATATAAACAACAACTATTTATTCATCTTCATCTCTCACACCCTCTCAAATTCTATTTCTATCTTATACATCTCTAAATTTATTGTCTTTCTCTTTGGTTTTTCTTCTATTTTACTATTGATAATCTTCATAGTTTTTTTTTTCACTTCTCCCATAAGTTTATGTATGTTTGTATCGTTATGTTATTCAGGTTGCATTATAGTTTTTATGCATTATGTCATGAAGATTTGAAAAGAAGTCTTCAAGTTCAATATTTGATTTTTTGGTTGCAATATAAGGTAAAATATTTATACTGATTTGTTTCATTATTTTGATTGCACTATAATTTTATTTATGTTTGTATCGTGTTTTTTGTTTGCATTATAACTCTTATGTATTAGGTAAAGATTTAAAATGTTYRAGTTCACCATGTAATTTTTACTTATGCATGTTGAACGTTTTTTGGTTTGCAGGTTATCGAGTTCTTTAACGTTTATATATCAAGTCATGAAAATTTGAACTTTTCAAGTWTGGGTTGTGGGAATTTTTGATTATGATCTAAGGTAAGAATTTTATGCAAGTTTGTTTTGTAATTTAAAGTGTATTAGAATGTTATGTATGTTTGTATCATGATTTTGATTGTATTATATTTTTAAGTATGTTCTTATCGTAAGTTTAGTCGTATTATAATTTTATGTATGTTCATGTTWWGATTTTGATTGCATTATAATTTTATCTATTGRGTTATAAAGATTTGAAGTCTTTAAGTTTGGTATGTGATTTTTTACATATCGTATGGTTGGTCCGGTCCATTCACTATTGTGTTTTTAAAGTCAAGGTATGTGTTGAAGATGAAAAATAGTACATGTACATCATCCTTTGAAGGAGACATATCTTTATGTAGAGTATTTTTTATTCTTAAATTTGTGTCAGATTCCTTAATATTTCCGTCGTTATTATTACTCATTCTATTTAGTTTTACAATTTTATTACTAAACAAATCTCTCTCTCAATATATATATGTGTGTGTATATTAAAATTTCACTAACTATATTTTATTTAACTTTTTCAAATTATTTGAATATGATTTGTTGATGATTCTATTAACAATTAATATATATTTATATAGACAATCATCAGATCATTAATCAAAGCACTCATACTACCGCGCAACGCGCGGTTCCCATACTAGTTTGTATTAAAACCATTTTTCATTTAATAATTTACGAGTTGATTGGGTTATTTTAATGTGGGGTCTATAAATTTGGTGTTTTTTTTTTAAGTATGAATGAAATTGAGTTTTTTTTAGTGTTTATAAATCCATTATATTTCGTGTTTTTTGTGTTTTTTTTTGTTGATAAGATTGGAGTTGCCCTAAGTGGGACAAAAATATGTGCCGGTTCAAGGGTACGACGCCGTCGGCTAGTTCTCACTTGTAGCAATCGCCGGCGACGACGGCGATTTAACGGCCACCAACAACTATACTTGACGCTACTTTCCTAATCCACCTCTCCCCCAAAACTCCGTACGCGACATGCCCAATTGCTGTCCCTCTCCATCACCCCTATAAAATATTATCAACAGCGTCAAAACTCAAAACCCTACAAACAAAATCCAACAATCGTTGATTTTGTGGGTGGTTCGAAGTGGGTATATCGAATTTATACAGAAAGATGAAACTTTAAAGTGATTTTCATCTCAGTCAAGCAGCCGGTCGTCAATTTTGTGGGTGTAATTTGATTGGGTTTGTTGGATCGATGCGGAAGATGATGAATCTTTAAAGCCAAAAGAATTGAGAGTAGAATTATGAGCAATAGAAGCCGGCCGTCGGTGCATCCACTTGATACTGAAGTTCCTCAATTGAGAGAAGGAGCCGCTGCCGATAATGGGGATCCACCTGATGATACAGTCATAATGAAAGATGTTCAAGGGATGCCCGGAACGCCGGCCGGCCTCATCTTGCGTCTTTTTCAATTCGGTTTCGCCGCCGTTTCAGTTGCCGTCATGGCCGCCACCAGTGACTTCCCTTCCGTCACCGCCTTCCGGTAACTACTAAACCCTCTCCCTAAAGAGTAAAGTCTACTTTACATACCATTGTAGAATTTGTAGTATGTGTATGGCTTATGGATAATAGCATGAAACTTAGAGAAAAATGTCTGAATTTAGGACCAAATTTCAATTGGTGTGATCTTGGATCATTGAAAACTTCAAAATTCATATCAATTTTGAAGCATATTTCTTGTTTGCAAGGGGGAGAGATTTCAATATGTTTTGAAATATAGGGTATCATTTGAAATTGGTAATAGATATCTCTTTCTTTTGCATCAGGTACCTTGTTGCAGCTTTAAGCTTGCAATGCTTATGGAGTCTCTCACTTGCCATTCTTGATATTTATGCTCTTTTGGTGAAACGGTGTTTACGAAATGCAAGAGTTCTTGGTTCTGTTGCTATCGGAGATGGGGTAAAGATGCTTACTTGTAGTTTCCTATATAAGTTTCTTACATGTTATGCACTTAAAACTACTTCTATTCTCTTTGAAAACCTCTTTTTAGTATCAAATTGAAGTCTATGGAACAAATAAAGCCTAAAAACTGCATCTTTACGCATCTTTAAGCTTATAAGTTTTCAGCATTTATCGAATATTACTAGTCAGGAATATAGTCGAAGATTTGGGATCATGTGACTGTGAACTATTTTGGTGATACCCGTGAGACCACTTAAACAACAGACAGTACTGAACCTTCACAGCAGAACACTATGAAGGTAAACTTTCATAGTGTTTTTATTGTGGAGGTTCAATGTTTTTTGTACCTTCACAATGTTTTGCGGGTAAGTTTTGGTGTTATTTTATGGTCTCACGAGTCTCACGAAAACTGGTCTCAGGTGAATCCAACCTTATAGTCAAAATGTTCTAAAGGTACTCAATTCTAACTTTGCTATGATTATGTTTTTATTTATATTATGTATGGATCCAAATCCAATATCCAAGATTATATCCCAAATGGAGGTGGGATCTGGTGCGATTTATTTTCTCCTATCTCTATCAATTTATATTATCATCTGCGGTATTCGTCTTCTGGTAGTTATTAGTTGTATTATCGTGGTTTGCTTATTTTGCTATTGTTATGTTATCAAGGCAAGCTTGAACCCTTAATCGTGTTGCTTTCTAGGCGTAATAGACAATATACACTAGCATAATATAGTTATAGTTTATATCCGTAGGGGTAAAATTAATTAGGATCCTGGGAACTGCTCATAGCACAATATGTGGCAGATTATAAGGAATATGGAGGTTCTATTCATCATGAATGTTATAACATATTCATCATGAATGGGTGATTCCTTGATACGTCCATATTCATCGTGAATACCATATTCATCATGAATGTGTTATTCACGATGAATATTCATCCAGAGGGACACGTGGCCTACTGTGGGGTGGTTCCCGGCTTCCTAATCAAGTTTGGGTTCCTAACGGAACTTTCCTCTACGTTCATATATCGTCAAATGTTTTAGGTATTAGAATCTTATTTTTACTGGAATCTATATTGATTTCCTATTTAAGCGCATTAAACGTCTAAATTTGGTTGTTCGACCAGAAGATGCATATTTTGATCATGGGTTTAATTTATTTCCTGTTTAAATTCAACACACATTTCGGTGTCTAAATCCACTTGTTATTTCTCTAAACTTACAAAAGTTCACATTTGATGATTGGTTTCTGTTTGAATTTAACGATCTTGATGATGGGTTTGATTTCAATTTATCTTTTCCGAAATGCAGATTACATCGACGTTAACATTTGCTGCAGCTTGTGCATCAGCAGGCATAACAGTTCTTATTGGTAGCGACTTGAACAACTGTGCTGAAAACCATTGCACCAGATTCGAAACATCCATTGCTATGGCTTTCGTCAGCTGGTTTCTGGTTTCGCCAACGTTTTTCTTGAGTTTTTGGTCTCTTGCGTCGAGATGATACCCCTTCAATTGTGACATGTGTATATATAGACGAGTTTTTTTGATTTCTTGGTGTTGTATGGTGGCTTAAAAGTAAGAAATTATTTCATGTAGTTACAGGTGGATATTGTACTTCTGTTTTTGTTCTGTAAGGGTGCGTTTGGTACGCAGACAGGACAGGACAGGACAGGACGGGACGGGACGGGACGGGACAGGACAGGACAGGACAGCTGTTCAGCGTTTGGTAAGACATGATATGACAGGACAGGACTGGTTAAAATGACCAATTTACCCCCAGTGAGCTGTTTAGTGTTTTTTTTTCACTTGAAGGGTTTTCAGAACTGACAGTAAAGCTTAGCTCCATATTCTTATTGCATATTCTTGTCTAATTAGTTCTTACTATCAAAAAACCAAAAACAAAGTTCCATTTACACAGGAGCCTAAAATCGACCAAAAACAGGAGCCTAAAATCGACCAAAATCGATTAACATAACAATAGCCAAAACATCGACCAAAATCGATTCAGAAAACAATAGCCTAAACATCGATGGGTATAGATTCAGAAAACATTAGTTGGGACAGTAATTCCTTCTACAATAGCATAAATCGATGGGTATAGGTTTCAAGGTTCAAGTTTATAGAAATGGGTTTCAAGTTTTAACTTTCTGGAATTGGTTTTCATGATTAATATTCTACAAATTGGTTTTCATGATTAAAGTTTCTGGAATCGATGGGTATAGTGTTAACAAGGAGAAGAAATCGATGGGTATAGTGTTAACAAGGAGAAGAAATCGATGGGTATAGTGTTAACAAGGAGAAGAAATCGATGGGTATGAGAAATCAATTTCAGAAATTACCTCATAGGGGATAGTGGTCGCCGTCGATGTTCCTGGTCGCCGTCGTGGTCCTGGTCGCCGTCGATGGTCCTGGTCGCCGTCGATGGTCTG